ATATATATTAAAGCCTATTGATCTCACCACCAAAATATATCGTGATAATATCTATTTGGTGTGGCTCTATAGCCTCGTTTTTAAGGTAGTTTTGGTGAGGCCGCGCGCGCACTTTGTGGTCGCGCGCACTTTGTGGTGGGGCTACATAGTTAGGATGCCCCTACTAGTTAGTGCAGTAGGACGAGCGATACTAGGCGGGGGTAATCAAGTAGCTAAAGACTACCCTCAGCACATACTCTGCTATTCTGCCCTGAGCAGCTACAAGAGTATCCTGTTTTCACATACACCTAACATTAGCCTGGTACAAATAGGAGATCCTACATAAAGGTGCAACAATGACTGAGACTATGGAAGTTGAGCTTCTGAGGCCAGGGCATCCTGAGAATATTGGCTAGTATCCACAAGCGCTGATCTGTGGCATTGCTAACCTGGAGGCTAGTAGTAAAAGTTCCGGTGTCTGAGATTCTGATATCCATTGCTAGCTGGCCATTTCAACCTCGATTTCCCCTTCTTTATCCTCGTTGTCGCGTTTGCGACTCAGCAACTCTGCATCGTCGTATCACGCAGCCGTCAAATCCGAACGGAAACGCCGGTCGGCCATACTATATATGTATTTCATGCGAACGTAAAGACGGGAAAGGATGGGTCACTTGGGATGATGAGCGGGGTGTACGTAACAGTAACCCGAGTTGTTATTGCGGTAACTTGAGTCGACAAGATCAGGTGGGCATCGGGCGGGGAAGACGTGGTTTGGGTTTTTGGACATGCGCGACAGGGAGCTGCGACTACCATTCCAAGTACTTGAATGGCTGGACTAATTATGCTCCGCAATGTGTTGAGTTCTATCCGTGGCTGCTATAGCATGAGTTTATTGGATAATGTGGACCACCAACAGCACGATGATATATATGAGCACAGAATGAACAGTACATCTTTCGTAGCTTCAATGTACAAGTGTTTCCTCTAAGTCTATAGTGACGTTGACACTGCAAACGTCGACCCTTCCTCTGAACATGTATACACGGAAGACTCCCTAAGCGTCCTGAGTTTGGCAAGTTCCTGTTCCTTCGAAAAAACGCTTTCCTCCATCTGCCTATACCCTACTTTATTCGCAAGATTATAAGTTATCCACTCTGTATCAATTCCAACCTACAAAAGAACCGCAATTCAGTGAGCTTACATATAATGTTTGAGGTCCGGAACGAATCGAAGCAAAACGCAAGTGAGACTGCGAGGGTGGGAGCGGGTTGACATGGTAGTGGCGTATAGCATAGTTATCATTGTGAAAGCCAGGCTCTACTGGCCGATCGTTCATTTTTTGTGAGTAGTTACCGGTTTTTAAAGTCAATCGGGCGGCCTCTTTGTGTGCAATGTTTGCGTTTTGTTTTCAGGTAAGCACAGGAACAGTACAGCATCACATAACCATACTCTCTAAACGGTCAGTCATAGCACTTCTTTGTTGTAGAATGCCCCATCGCTAATTTCTTGATATCAAACGGCGTTAGGATCATCTTGCACCATTCATCTTGCATAAACAATAGAGCCGCAGGTTGATCAAATGACATGAGATGATTCATAAGATGATTTGCTTCAAGGGTTTAGTGCTTCTTAGAATCGCATATAGGAACATTAATCTTGAAAGTCTACCTTCTAAGTAGATGATACCAAATAGATACCTTGCTGAGTTTAACAAATGTCACTATTGTTCATTCCTTACGCTATCAAGTTCACTTTTTACAAATACGCTTATGGCTCCTCCAGTCAGACTTTTGACAGTTCGAGGAGCAATATTTAGTGATATGACACGCGCTACATTTCAAGAGTTTTCCTCCACCAATAGATCTTCCTTTCCCACATACCGTACAACCTCCTTGTACTGGGTCTAGATTTAGTAAACCATCGAATGGCGGGTCAATCATGGGAACCGAGAATATTGGGGATATAGCCGCTCCAGTAACTAGCCCACGTACATCAGCCCAATTTGGAACATCTGGAACAAAATCTTCGGGAAGAAAGCCACGGCCACAGGCACAAAACACATCGTTGACGTCATCTTGAGTCTGTTGGATGCATCCTGCATCACGGTTGCATGCAGGATGGTGTTTCCAGATCCTACATCTCTCCGTAAACGACGGCAGGGTCTGTCTCCAGAGTTTGAGTTCTTCATCATCGACTCTGATACTGCAAAATCCTTTCTCAGTGACTGCTGACAAGAACTTTGCAATACGGGGGACGAGACTCTCGGTGATTGGCAATACACCCGTGTCGAGCACGACAGTTTGACTGCCAAGATCTAGTCTTATGCAAGACACAAAAATGAGAAAGTGAACTCCGCCTCCAGTTGGATTGTCCAAGCCGAATATATGTGATTGTCTTCCCTGAATTCCAGTAAAATGCATGAACAGAGAGAACAGCGAGTCTTTGAAGCCCACTCGGGCATCTGGCGGTATGGCACTCACCACGGACAAGGATTGCTCACGTTGTTTTCGTTCGTGTTTGGAAAACATGCCTGCTACGTGCGGCGACAGCCATTTGAGTTGATCATGGCGATTTCGATCCAGTACTGGTAACACTCTCATGTCGATATGATGTACATTGGCAGTTCTCCCCCATATACACGAGGGAGAAAACACTGGAAAACTCGTCCATACACTCCAATGTAGAGGTGCTTCCACCTCTATGTAACAAGACTTTCTTGCAATGCGAATTTTACTTCTTTCACCACAGACTGGAACCGGGAATGATGACGCAATCTGGGCATCCTCACCGTTGAAGGCAACTTCAAAGTCACATGGGGCTGTTTGTGTGGTCTTTACAGCACAGCCACTTCTCAGAGAACGCTTCAGTCTTTCTGAGAGAAGATCTATACAACCAGAAAGGGCGGTAATTCTTCCTTCTGGTTGCAGAACGATCGCGGAAAAGGTCGTTTTGATCTCTCCATGTGCCAATCCAGGGGATTCGTGCTCGGCTCTACTGAAACAGTGACCGGATGCAATGCTGGTCAGATTGGGTGGATGTTTTGAAATGTAAACACATTCGTCATTTCCCAATGTCGTTTCGAATATATTCATCTCGAACCCCAATGATCGAACGAACTTAGTACAGGTCTGCGGTGTACTTTGTAGTCCAAAAGCTATGATGGCAGTTTTCGGCTCAAGCAGCAGAAACCAAGATGGGGTCATGAATGAGACCACAAGTGGGAATTTACCCTGCCACCTCAAGTCGTCCTCAGAGACCTGAATTGCATATTCGTTGCTATGAATCTCGCCAACGGTCGAGATGATACCAAACGCAAGTTGGATTCCAGAGAAGATATTTTGCCAGCGCCCGACTATCGAACTCATAGATGACTGCACGATACAGTGGCCGATTGGAGTACCGACATCTGTTGGATCAAGACCAGTCAGAGCGCTCAGCTTGTTTCTTGGCACTTTTAGGGTTATGCAAACTGTTTTCGGAAGGTCCTTCCATCCGCCGATTCCATCTCTAGCCGAAGTCACCACATGATCCGGTTAAGTAAATATCTGTGCAGAGTAGACATTCAGGGTATGGAAGTAGAGATAGAGCTCTTGGATATAATTCCTCCCCATTGTGATTGTAGAATCGTTTTCAATCAGTCCGATGATACGGTTCATCAAATCATGCCAATTCACAGCAACTCGATTTCTAAGCCGATGGAGAAACATAGCAAAACTACCACGATGGTAGTGCAACGTGGAGCTTCTTTCAATCTTGAGCATGTCGAGGTCTTTGAACAGTGACAGTGCGTTCTCGTGCTGGAACATATTTTGGTAGACATTGTGGAGGATGTGGGCCAAATCGGCTTCGTTGAATCGTAGTCTCGGTTCTGTCATCCCCAAGTTCGCAGCTGGAAGCGAAGTGAGGCGCTTCCACGTTAACTTAACGCGCATTTGCCTACGGTTGCTACTATCGGTCGCGCGAAATACCTGTTCGAGTGTGACATCGTCGGCTGTAGATGAACTAGACGCGTTGGTCCAATACTCGACTGGGAAGAGATCAAGCAACAGTGACATGGTGACAAAATCTCCACAAAGTATGGAGTCAACGTATGCTCGATGATCCTTTTCTCTCCTCACCAATGACTCGGTATACAGAGTAGAAGACGTGTCTTTTTTCAGTAAGGGAGATACTGCTGAGAGTAGGTTGAGAGATCCCACATGATCGGCGAGGTTGGAACTGTCCACAACGTTGAATGCGAAGGGTGCCCCATGTGTGGTGCTGTACTCCTTTTTGTCGAGCTCGATCGGACTCAAATGATGGACATCTCGATAGACATTTCCTAACCAATCATGCCCAGATAACTCGAGATGATGCAGTGCATGTGCGAAAGCGATTGCATCTCCCGCAAAGAACCAAATGGTTAAGTTCATCTGAGAAGACAACCGAAATGCGTGACACCATGTTCGAAACTGAAGATGTGCTGCCTCTGTGACGCGAAGGGGAACCGACCTTGCTAAGGACCCAGTTGAAGCGGTGTATTTTACTGGTGCAAATGCCGTCGCGAGATGGAAGCCCAGAAGCGGATCCGTTCCATAATGGAGCGTAGGCGCCCCAATGGTATGGAAAGCAAACAGAGGGTTTGGAAGATTCGTTTTTGCCAAGACCTCAGCATCTTGACTTGTGCTCCCATACTTCCAATAGTGTTGATACAACACGTGGGCGTTCTCTGCGTATGCGATACCGACCAGGGCTGCAGAACGTATTCCTGTAGTCACGTATGCATTTTCGCCCCCAACATAGTATGCCTTCACCTCCTTAGCGCGCTGGATGTTCGATTCGAGAATATGATTGAATACAACTCTTGTGTTCTCATTCGAGTCTTGCGTGCAATATGACTTCCATAAAGCTCTCACTCGGGTGAACGTTGAGAGATCACAAAACCTCAGTATGCTGCCATATTTTGTTCCATGCCATGCGTCCAGCGAGTTTGACAAAGAAACTAGTTCCTTTGCCTGATCCGTCAGGACCTTTAGGGAGGATTCGTCCAAGTAAAAATGGTAGTAGATATCCCAAATTATTCTCTAGCGGTTGCCATCAGTGTCCGCGAGAATAAGCGAAAAGAGCAATATGTTCCTTGCTGTTGCTACCATCAATATGACAATTGGGTCCAGGGCTTTGCAAATACCTATGACAGCGTCTTGAATATCACAGCACGTGATATCAAAATCGCGAGCTATGTTTCGTCAGCCTTACGAAGTTTACTATATATTACACATACAGTTGTTCTGCTCAGAGTATAGTGTAAACAACACGTTACGAACGTCACCACAACCTAGAAGCAGCAAGTCTCCTTTGTCTTCACATAGTAAATCCCGTGTGAGGCATCTTGCAGGCGTGTTTCCTATCGGGTAGAAGAAAGTCAGGATATCAAGATAAACCGGACCAAACATGACGACACTGTAAAAAGATTTTAGAGATCTTATACGTTTCTTAAGAATCTCATGAGTGGACGAGCTCAATGGTGGTGAAGGGCAAAGCGGAAAATGCGATGACGGCTAGTGTATATTGTACCAACAGCATTGGGGTCGCCTCTAGTACTGCGGACGTAGTATCGGTCGGGCGCGAGAAAGGGCATACCAGCGTCAGCAGACAATTTCTGGCCAATCATGACCGAACACATCTTTGCGGAGTGAGTCTGTTGGAATTCTTGTGGTTGCTTCATATGCATAGACTAGGCATTTATTGGCATCGCGTGTACCGTCAGCTCGGTTCAGGCGCTGTCGCACAGCAGCGGTGAGAATCCAAGGTCTTTGCAGGCGATGGATTCTGGGCTAACTAGTCCATTTTGGCGGTTTAGCCCGATTTCGAAGGTAGAAACGCGCATAAACGGCGGCTAGGTAGATGTGAAGGGCTAGGCTAAGAATAGGTATCCTTGGCTACGCCTTAGTGTCATTGCCTCTCATTACAGATCACCGCGGCGATCTGAAGTATAAACCTAAGCTAATGAAAGATTTATAGTTATAGTGCCTAGCATATAATGCGTCTTGCTTCTGACCCTGGTACTTCCCGGTCAGGCAATCGCGCACCCTAGTCTTGAAAAACGCGTGTATGCGTTTGATCAAATTAATGTACATTCGCCCGTGACGAAACGCTTATCGTGCCAGACCAATCTGAAGGTACTTCGACTTTAAAACAATGATTAGACTTATTGAGTCTATACTTTACAATCGAATGTCTCACATTACTTAACTCGACTTATAAATAAAAAAACATTACAGCTGTACTACACCGCCTCAACAACACCGTTGATGCAGTATCCAAGGCTAGGAAACGTATGCACGAGCGTTATTTTAGAGTGGTTATAGAGGCAGCTTGGACTCAGACTCGCTACGGAGACAGTCCGGTCGGCGGTCGGCTTAGTAGCAGTACACACGTTGCTACACCGTTTCACTGTGACTACAGCTACAACATCTCTGTTGGCGACAATGCCTTAGTCGGATCTAAATCCCAGCTACTTAATTCAGATTACCATTGGAAGCAAGACTAGCATTGGTGCATGTGTTACTATCGCAACTCTGAAAGCACTAACTGATCTGGAATTATTGAAACGGAGCTACAGTCTTGAAGTCGCTAAAAACATCCATCCACGTTGGCAAGCATGTCTATATCGGTGATTGCTACATCGTAGGAGCCGGAGTGCGAGTTGGTGACGGCGCTATTGTTCGTTCTGGGTCTGTCGTCGTTCATGACAATACATGAGCAGCTGCTAAGCTAATAGAGCGACTTGCGGAAAGATGCGTGAAAAGACTGACCACACTTCTGTACGAGCTGAGGCGCTAGATGTGAAGCGCAAGATAGGGCAAGGTAGACCCCGGCCAATGATGTAATCGCCGGTTTCAGATCATTACACCATGTACGCTAGCTAATTAGTGCCTAAAGGACCATAGGAGCGTCTTAATGTGAAGAGCAATGCAAGTCGCGACCTTCAAGAGTAACGTCTATCCCTACGTGCCGGGACGCACGGTGTAACGGGACACTTTCTCTTCTAGACCCTTGGACTATCCCACAACATACTTATATATAGACAAGCGCAATACGCATCTACTCTAGAGCTCTTACTCTTCTAGCATATCAGCCTCTGATGCTAAAAAGCGCGTTATTGGCCGTGCTATCGCTTATTCTATTAATGCTGTCTTCTAACTCTCCTCTAATACCCCCTGCTCCTCCGCGATAGTACGCTTCTACGAACAGCTTAGTAGGTTAGAAAAGAAGCTAGAATAGCAAAGATTAAGAATACAGTCCTAAAAAGTCGATTTAGAGCAATAAGTACACGTCCTAATAGTTTCTCCGCGTAGACGGCAAGATCGTCAAAACGCGTCGTGAAGGACGTGCGCTATTAGTAGTACTTGGCATGCAGGTAGTCTATAGTAGCGTGCTTAAATATCGCTGTATGCTATCGTAACGAATCTAGCACTATACCTATAGTAGTTGGCGGCTAAGAAT